TAAAAATGGTTAGGCAAATCAAAATCATGGGAATGATTGAAGAAAATGTTGTTTGATTAGTTTTTATTTTGACTTTCACTTTTTATATTATGATGGTGGATTGACAGTGATGATTTTCATTGTGATCACATGGCATAGGTAATTAGTCTAATTAATGGTGGTTTTGAGTGTGAAAAAAAATATATATATGTGTGTGTTCTTTTCATATGTTCGTACGCTGTGGGCGCCCGATCTAGCAGCTTGAGTGAAGAGCACTTAATTACTAATTAGTCAACATATATAAATAAAATAAAATTTTACCAAAGGTAGAAGAAATTGTCAAAAATATCAGCACAGATAACATGATAAAATTTTTCCAGAAGTAGAAGAAATTGTCAAAAATATCAGCACAGACAATATGTTTGCCTCCCCTCTAATAAGAGAAATTAATGTCCCAAGGGACTTGACTTTAACCGACTTTGGTTTTGGCACATTTTTCCAACTTAAAAGATACCAATTTGTTCACTAATACCATTCAATTAAAATAGGAATTTTTATTGATAAATCTCACTTAAAAGTGTTTTAATTTAAAAAGTTTATGAAGGAATTTTTTAACTCATTTAGTCTCATGTATATATATTTTTATTCCATAAAGTCTTTTTTCTTGATTTACATTATTTTCTTAGACTCTTATACCCTTATATTTAATGTTGATATTTAATATCTCTAAACTCTAAATTTAAAAAGTTCCATTTTCATCAAACTTTAATGTTGATATTTAATGTTCCTAAATCTTAAACCAAAAAAGCTCCCTTTCATCAAACTTATTAAAAATTTTGATAATATTATAAAATGGACACATTTTCGGAAAGTTCTTTAATGGGTTCAACGCCCTGAGAATTCTTTCTCATCTAATGTGAACGTTCATAACACATTCTCGGAAAATTATATCTCATTTAATATAGTGATGTGAATATTCACAACATATGAACATTCACAACATATGAACATTCTTATTTTTAAATAATGATAATATGTTATATTCCCCTTTTTTGTGATTGTGATTACTATTGGTAATGACAATCAACATTAAATATCAATATCATATAATTGACAACATAATGTAATTTTCCTCTTTTTATTATGAATATTCATGTCATGTTTACATTCAAATGAAAGTTGAGGGTTGTGATTGTGTAATTTGATGCAATGCTGATGTGAACCTTAACATCACCTTTATCACAACTTCATCTGATGTGAACATTCACATTCATGTTATCTGATGTGAATATTCACATTCACGTCATCTAATATAAACATTCACGTCATCACGTATAATCATGTTTATATTCAAATGAAAGTTGAGACTTGTGGTTGTGTAATTTGATGAAATGCTGATGTAAACCTTAACATCACCTTTATCACAATGTCATCAGATGTGAACATTCGCATTCACGTCATCACGTACAGTCAACATTTGGATGTATGGGAACTATCAAAACATAATGACAATCAATAAAAAATCATGTTTAATTTTGTGTGTATAATATATATCAACATTAAATAGTACTATGTAATTAATGTATTTTTTTGGAGTGAAGATATGGGAAATAAGAATGGTCATGGGAACTACCAAAATATTATGATAATCAACATTAAATATTAACATTAACAGGGGCATGAGAGATTGAGGATATTTTGGCCTTCTTACCTCAAATAGGGCCTAATGGAATAGTAAAAAAGAATATGAGTTTGATGGAATAAAATTCTTAGAAAATGGATTTATCAAAAAAAGCTCCCATTAAAATAATAGTCCGTTTGTTTGGTTTTAATTTTTTGGATTTAATTTTTTAAAAATTGAGTTTTTTATTTTTCGTATTTTTTATTTTTAGTAAATATTTTTAAAATTTTAAGAATTTTTTTTTACTTTTTTGAATGCACTTTACTTAGATGTATCTAAAAGGTAAAATATTTGTAAAAAAATATTTTAAAAAATCAATAAATATACAAAAATATGAAAAATGTACTGAATTCTCATAATTTGTTTTTGTATTTTTGATATTTAGCGAATTTTCTAAAGATTTTTTTTTCACAAATATTATACTTTTTACGTGTATTTATGTTAGGTGTATTTCTTAGAATATTAAAAAATTCAGTAAAAATTAAAAAATTTAATTTTCTGAAAAATGGATCCTAAAAATCCAAACCAAACAAGTTGAGTAATGTTAAAAATGCTAATTAGTAAATTAACTAACACACTAATTATAAACTAAGACACAAGGTATATATATAGGTTTCACCACTTAACATAGTCTTATTTAATATTGTATTTAGTTGGTGTGTTAATTGACACACTAATTAATATCATTATTGTTAGGGTAAAATACATTTTGCCCCTTTTATGCCTGTCTACTTTCTTATTTTGACTCTTAAAGTTTATTTTTTCTCACTTTGACTTTTAATATTTAAAAAAAAAATCAATTTACTCTTAAAATTAACTTCTATTTAAAATTAGAAAAAAAATGTCACGATAATTATCACATAACATAAAAAAATATATTATTATATTAGAATTTGAGTCTGTATAAGTATGAGTAATATATAAGAAAATATTTTTATGTTACATGACTATTAATGTACAATTTTGTATCTAATTTTTAATAGAAATTAGTTTTGAGAGTTAACTAAAAAAATTTGAAATATGAAGAATTAACAAATTGAAAAAAAAAAAAAAAAACTTTAATAATCAAAGTGAAAAAATAATCAAATATAAAATAAGCAAACTGTAATTTATCCTTATTGTTAAAATAAATTAAATTAATTAATACCATTCAACGCCTTGAAGTCCAACCAAATAATATGTCAGCATCGCTGTCATGCATACTACACGGAAAGCTTATGGTGTGCATCTTTGGATTCATATCATATATATTCTATTATAAATTAATATAATTTAATTAAATTTTTTTATATTAATATCAATTATAAAATATGTAATAGTTTAGTTATAATATTTTTTATTATGTTAATTTATGGTGAGATTATATATTTTGTGACTAATATTACAATTTTTTTTGATAAAATTATATTATTTGTAGTAAGGTGCATATGATGCGCACCTCCTACAAAATAAAATTTTCCATACTTATATATATATATATATATATATATATAGAATAAAAGAGTTATTTTCTTGTTCTTCTCTACAGTTTTAAATGCAATGAATATGAAACACAAAATGCCATAATTTCAATATAATTTCTCATATTTTAAAACATTTTTATATACATTTATTTGTATACATTTTTCAACACTAAAAAAATCTTAATAATTGTTTTTGACATTTTCTTATGTTAAATTACATTCGTTTTATTTTATTTTATTTATGGGGATCGCTTATACTTAAATCACATGAAAATGCAACACCAAGTTAGGGATCATCATAGCTATATTTTTTTTATTTGTTTAATTAGAAAATAATTTGTTAAAAATAAACATAAATTTTTTTTAAAATTTTAAAAATTATTTATCTCCCAAAAAAATAAAACTATATGAAAATGTGCTGTTACCTTTTTTACTAAACTAATTTTGGTTGGAAAAAAATTAGAAAACAATCACCGAACATAGCCATAACTTTAGGATAAGACAAAAGATACAAACGCAAGTGTAACTGGCTCATTATCATTAAGGTGCTATTTCTTCAAACTTAATTAATCTTATTCTAGTCTTTTGGGTGTGTCTTGTGGAGGTAGTTCTTGGCGTGTGGGGCTACATTTTTACTTGTTTGCTACAAAATAATTAGTTTTATATGAACATAAAGATGAACTATTAATGAACTCCACTCTAATATATAGAACACATAAATTCAATAAATTGTTGCAAAAAGCTATAAAGAAATCTTATACATCATAATTTTTTTCTCACAATACTCATTAGTTATTTGTTTAAAATTAATTATTAAAAATGGATGAAGACATAAAATTTTCCATATATATGTCCTCAAAATCATATATAGGGTTGAACTTCATCTAAACTATTAATGAGCTACTATTTTTTTACAGTCCCGCTACATCTTAATTGAGTCTCCCAATTTTACCCCTAATGATATAGATGAAAAAATAAAATATTAGAGAGAGAGAGAGGAGTGAGGGTGTGTTTTTACGTGGGTTCTAATTACGTTATTGGGGTGAAATTGGGAGACTTCAATTAGGAGATAAATCAGTTTTTAATTTGTCATGTCCTTGTGAAAGTAAAATTAAAACAAAGGACATTCTATTGTCTGGTAATCTTATATTCATTTGCTTATATGAAACGTTTCACATTTGATACAAAAAGAAAGTAAATAAAAATATTTTTTTATGATTTGCAATGTTAGTTTGATATAAAAAAGGAATGTAAATAAATAAATAAAAACTTGTGGTAAACAATGATAGCGGTAGTAACAACAATAATAATAGTGGCAATAATATAATTTTGTTGGTAAGATTTAAGTTTGACAAATATTTTTTTTACTTTTGTCAAATTAGTTTTTTTTTTAATAAGGAAAAAAAATCTATTGACTTTCACATTTTACTATATTAAACCCTTAAAAATATATTTAAAAATTATATTATTATTTTCTCAAGATTTTGTTTCTATAAAATCCACAATTTAATTAGTTTGTGCCGACGAATCGCAGAACTAAATCCACAGGCTGTACACAGCCTAGCCCGACTTTTATACATAAATGGTACACAGAACATAGACGCACAAACATGCACATTCGATATTTAATTTTGCTTTTTTCTTTTATTATATATATACACGTGTTTAAATTACTTTTACAAATCAAAACACATGTCAATTTAACAGACTTGTCGACAATTAACGCACGCGTTTTTCATGGGATTTTGTTTGAACATTTTATGCGTCGCACTCGTGTCCATTTCTAAACACTACTGTCAAACCAAAAAAATAAAAAACTAAGTTACATTATACATCAACAACAATTGATTCAACATCATTATAAAATCATCAGCTCACCATTACTCTCTCATCCATCTCTCTCTCTCCCTCTCTCTCACTCACTCACTCAGCTCCTTCCTTTCTCTCTCTAGATCTTGTTTTTTTCTCTATCAATGGAGTCTGGACCTTTTTATTACTTCTCATATTTACAATCCACTTTTTGTTTCTTGTTCTTCTCATTTACACTCACTTTCATTATTTTCTCTGTCTTGCTCTTCACATTGAGGTTGATCAAACCATGGTGTAACTGCGATATCTGCCGGAGCTATCTAAATCGGAGCTGGGTATCGGAATTCGATAATATGTGCGATTGGTACACTCATCTTCTCAAAAAATCTCCGACCGGGACGATTCATATTCATGTTCTTGGCAATACTGTCACTGCGAATCCAGATAATGTTGAGTACATTCTCAAAACCCGGTTCGAGAATTACCCAAAAGGAAAACACTTCTCTGCAATCCTTGGTGATCTTCTGGGTAAAGGTATCTTCAATGTTGATGGCGATTTGTGGAAGTTTCAGAGAAAAATGGCGTGTTTAGAGCTCGGTAGAGTCTCGATTCGATCTTATGCCTTTGAAATTGTCAGCTCCGAGATTCAATCTATGCTCTTTCCTCACTTATCATGTGCTTCTAATAAAGAACATGTTGTTGATTTACAAGAGGTGTTTCGTCGATTCTCGTTCGATACCATATTCAGATTCTCATTCGGGTTAGACCCTAGCAGCCTCGAATTCTCGCTACCTGTTTCAGATTTCGTAGCAGCATTTGATCTGGCGTCGAAGATATCCGCAGAGCGAGCAATCTCGGTATCGCCATTGATATGGAAGCTCAAAAGGGTACTAAACATGGGTTCGGAATACAAGCTCAGAAAGGCCATTAGAACGATCAATGTCCTCGCCGATGACGTCATCAAGCAGCGGCGAAAATTAGGGTTTTCAACACACAATGACCTTCTTTCGAGGTTCATGGGGACGATTGACGATGACCAGTACCTCAGAGACATTGTCATTAGTTTCCTCTTGGCAGGCCGCGACACAGTGGCATCCGCCCTGACCACCTTCTTTTGGTTGCTTGCACAGCATCCAGAAGTCGAGGCCGCAATTCGAGACGAGTCGGATCAGATCATGGATCCAACTCAGGAAATCGCAACTTTCGAGCAAATGAGAGAAATGCATTACTTACAAGCTGCAATGTATGAGAGTATGAGACTGTACCCGCCAGTCCAATTCGACTCAAAGTTCTGTCAGAAAGACGATATTCTTCCTGATGGATCTTTAATCGAAAAAGGGACTAGGGTTACTTACCATCAGTATGCGATGGGTCGGATGGAGCGGGTTTGGGGATCGGATTGTCTCGAATTCAAGCCCCAAAGGTGGCTAAACGACGGCGTTTTTTGCCAGGTTAACCCGTTTAAGTACCCAGTTTTTCAGGGTGGGTTAAGGGTGTGTTTAGGCAAGGATATGGCTTTAGTGCAGATGAAAAGTGTGGCTCTTTCTTTGATCATGAAGTTTGATATCCGAGTGGCAGCAGCGGTGGCGGAGACGAGTCAAACGCCACGGTTTCTGCCAGGGCTGACGGCCACCGTAAGAGGCGGTCTTCCTGTCCTGATTCAAGAAAGGAGACTCTCTCCTAATTAAAATGAATGGAGTGGTCAGATTGGCTCTAATGTAGACATGTGTTCAAAGATTTTGAGGATTGTACATAATTTGATTCAAATATAGCATTTTAATATGAAATTAAGGAGCAAATTTTGGTTTATTAGAACATCTCTAATCCTTATCATTATTCTGTTTGATCTGAAGTTTTTAAAAATCATTTTTTAACATTTTAATCTGTATTTTTATTTTTTAAAATGTTTTTCAGATCTACTTAATTTTTAAAAATTACAAAATTTGTGATTTTTTTTAAATCACTAAGGTGCCATTTGGTAACACTTACGTTTTCAGTTTTCTGTTTATATTTACAAAAATTTAAAAAACTCAAATAAAAACTTGTTTGGTAAATTTTTGATTTATAAATCAGCGGTCTCAATTTATAAATTTGGCCAAAAAATGTAAACTCAAAAAATGTGTTTCCGTTTTGAGTTTTTTTTTTTTTACCACCCACCACTTGCCACCACTGTCTTCCGCCACCACCACCCATCCCCCACCACCACTCACCACCCACCTGCCACCACCACTCACCACCCGCCACCACCACCCACCTACCACCCACCAACGCCACCACCACCACCACCACCACCACCCACTCGCTACCACCCGCCACTATCACCCACCTACCCAACCCGCTACCACTCACCACCGTCTTCCTCCGCCACTTGCCATTTCTTACTCTTTTTTATATTTTTAAATTTTTTAAACATTTTGTTAATTACCAATCATTTTGCCACTCCGCTTCTACGGCTATCATTACTACCACCATCACCACCACTCCACTACCACCATTACTATTACCACTACCTCTCATCCACCACCGCTATTCTATCTCCTCTACCACTACCACAACTTCACCACTAATCTCATTCGCTATCACCACCACCACCACTATCACCTCTTATCCACCACCTTCACCACTACTGCCACTACTA